ACAGCTGCAGCTTGTGCACAGCGGTGCTGCAAAGCTCCCTACCAGAACCTCCAAGCGCTCAAACCCTGCTAAACTCACTGTGCTGGATCCCCATTAAATTTAGATTTAGTTCTGTGGATTCATTCAAAAAAAAAGAGTTGAAATGGTTATTTTTGTAATAATAACATTTGAGTACCAATTTACTGTTGTTGTGTTTTTAAATCTCAGTTTTAATCCTACTGTTATGTTTTTATTTCAAGCACCTATATGACTGTCATAAGACACTTTATAAAGAAATGTAATGTAATAAATGTAATACCGGAGGCTACCAGCAGACTTTAAATCTGGATCAAGGTCATTTGAAGATTGAACTGTTTTCAGACTGTTGGATTTGTGCTGACTTATGAAGTGGAAAAGAAGAAGTGCTTCAGAAGTCCAGTCTGAGTCACATGTTCATGAGTTTGACATTTATCAAACACAAATCACACAACTTTTACACGACCACTGTCCAAAGGCCTCCACACACTCAGCTCACCAGTGACTGTGACGTTAACCATGTTAGTGTTTAGTTACCTGGATGACTGAGCATGCATCAAGACAGAGACGAGACCCTCTCTGGACTCACACCTGTAAACTCTGCTGTCAGGAAACATTGCATCAAAAATAGACCTGATTGTGTGTTCTTGTGTGATACTCCATGCTAATAAAAACAATTCCACACAAAAACGTTTGCCTTCATAAAGGAGTGATATGGAGAATCAATGCAATTATAACTCACTGAACAACACGAATAGACACACAGACCTTTCTTTGAGGTGTGGGTGTCATTAGTCACCTTTGAAAAGCTGAGTGTTTGAAATATTTGTTTTCATGGCTCCACCTTGTTTGTTGTCATGCTTTTGTTTGTGATTCTTTGGTCAAAGAGAAACCACGGGTCAGAACGAGCTGCTGAAAACACACATTCACGTTTAGATACTGAGGATTGTTACCCTTGAAAAAACAACCATCTCATGGATATTTCTCACACTTTTAAAGTGGAAATGTCCTCTGTAACATCTGCATCTCTCTGCTGGACTTTACTTTTTGCTTACCTCCTCTGTGTCTCTGCAGGTGAGACTGAACGTGTTTTAAGTGCAACAGGATTTTTCTGATTTATGAAATAATACCTCATCAAGAATTCTGTTTTGTAATCATTATTAAAAAGTGTGTTTTGGTGTTTAGGTTTAAGTAGGCTGTGTGACAACAGTTTAAGAGTTAAGCCTGAATTGGAACTTATCTGAGTCCTGATACAGAGAGCAGACTGAGGGAAAACTGTGATTTTGTTAAGCCTGTGATCTGCTAAATTTGCAGAAGTTTAAACCTTAACAAACATTACAGTAATAACTTAACATAACAGAAATTTCCGGGCAAGCTGTTTTCATCTTCAGCTCACAATACAATCTCTACTTTAATTTAACTCTGTGGACAGTAAAGCAACTCTAATTGTGTCAGGAAGTTCCTCTGCACTCAGACATTTGTCAATTGCTGATTTCTGCACAGAGATGGGCAGTAATTCATTACAGATAACTTTTTGCATTAACTTTGCTGGCAACGATTGAAACAACGGAAGCAATAACAAATACACTGGACCTAAAACAATATGCAGCTGGAATATTTATGGATTTGAAAAAAGAATTTCATACTGTTAATTACTCTACTACTAATACTAATACTACTAAGCAAACTACAGTTTTATGGCATAATCCTTTATGCATAATCCCATAATCCCTTGTTTAGTGTATTGAATAATCGGAGCACTACATGCAGTGACTCCCAAGCTAGGCGAGTGGCTCGGGCAGATCCCAGAAACAACATCTGAGATCTTGGAAACCAAATATTAGAGATGTACAAAACAAACTTTCCAAAAACATCTCAATCATGAACAAAATTAAGCAGGTTCTAGACTAAACGTCACTCTATGTTCTCTATATTCACTCTAAAATCTAAAATCCAGTATCATGCAAAATAAGATAATTTCAATATTTTAATATCTTATTCAAAATCGTTTTAACCAGAGAGATGAGGATAAAATTTGAGGGGTAAAGAGAATTTCAAGGAAGTACTAGGAAACGTTTTTGTGTCTCTGTGATATGTTTCTTTGTATTAAACACACTCAGGAAGCAGCTGAACAACTACATGACTGAGCTATAAACAAGTGAAGGGGGTGAGAGTACATAAGTGTCACTTCTCCCCACTCATTTTCAAGAACCTGTTGCACGAGAGGACAGTTTTATCCTTCCTGTGCACATGCTCTTAGTACATGGGTATACTAGCTTAAATATACATGATCTTATTTTGCTTATTCATGATCAAAATAAATGATCAATCAATCAATCAATCAATCAATATCTTAGTATTTTTTTGAGTTCTGAGATCATGCCTGGTGTGATGAACCCCAGCCTCTATGGATCTTATGCTCAGAGCTAGCTCCTGTACTGCCATGATTAATGCCTTTGTGCTCTCTTTTAGTGGTAGGATGTCTTTCCATTAGTAGGATTTCTGGATGTCAGTCACTTCCTCTATCTGCCTGTGGTACATGCACATCAGTGGTCTTTCCTTGCATGATGGTTCCTTATCTTGCTCCTCTTCTTTCTCGGGTTTCTGCTGTCTCAGATATTCACAAGTATTTGATCAGTTGTGGCCATCTTCTTGATGTACTCATCAATCTTTTTTGTTTCATCCTGCAAAGGGCTTCTGAGACTCCTTCTTCCTTTGCTTTGAAATCTACTGTGATTTGCTAACTCCTCAGGACTTGCCTTATTCGCTGCAGGTGTTTAGTGTTGTGGCTTTTCTACCAGCCTCTTCATGGTTCTCATTTATCTGTGGGATTCAGGCCTGAAGTGCAGTCAGATGGTAACAAAGAGAGGGTGGGTAGCCAGAACTGAAGGCAACATTGGAGACATTGAGGTTATACACATGCATATAGAGACACAAAGCCTAAATCATTAACTGCTTCTGTACACCTCTGGTCCAGTTTAGATGATCTCATTACTGTGAAGTAAAGAGCTGTACTTAGATCCTTGTAACTCTGTCTTGTGCCTTCTCTCAGACCAGAAAAACATCAAAGCAGGGGTTGGACAGACGGTCACTCTGCCTTGTCAAGCTCCAAAAAACAACAAGTTCATCATTGCTGCAGAGTGGAGCAGAGCTGATCTGGTGGATAAATATTTGCTTTTGTACTGGAAAGAGAAGTTTGATCCAACCAAACAACATCCGTCTTTCAAGAACCGGGTTGATCTGCAGGACAGACAGATGAAGGATGGAGACGTGTCTTTGATTCTGAAGGAAGTGACGACTACAGACAGTGGAACATACGAGTGCCGTGTTGTACAGAGAGGAACAAATATGGATGATGAAACCATCAGCACCATCTACCTTAGAGTCGTTGCTCCAGGTAATTGTGATATCAGAGGACAGGTTGATTCCCTTATGTGGCTACAGAAACGACTATACAAAGGCCAGAGACAGGACAGATCTATTTTTCTCAAATGGACATACTAGCTTAAATACAGTAGGCAAAGAGCCACATGTCTACCAACACGCATGGTGCTCAGTGATGATTAATTTTTAATAAGACAAACAATTTCTTAGCAAAAAACAAATTACACTACCCATCTGCTGTATCATAGAGCTGTTAGATAAACAAGAAAATTATCTAATTAGATAAAGAAGCATTTAAGTTTCAGAGTGGCTCAAAATAAGAGGAAGAAACTCATACAGATGTATCAAAGTGTGTACCTGCATGTGCAGATTATCTAAACCTGAAACTAATTTATGTGCTTTATGTTTCCTTTATGGTTTTACATTTTGGTGGATAATTTCTAAGAGTTTTCTGTACATCCACATCACATTAGATTTTCCCAACTGATAACTCTCACCTGTTTCTCACCTGCAGGTCAAACAAGAAGACGCAGAGAGGCTGTTTCTGATGGTGTGATAATTGGTCAGGGGGTTTATGTTGCAGCTGTTTTTGTTATTGGCTTGTTTATCTTTTACATATGCTATAAAAGAATGAACCACAGGATAAACTGATGTTCTGAGGACAGACAGAAATGAGCACTGTGGATAATAGTGGGCCTTTGGTGGTGGCAATACAAATATAGTTAAACAGTAAGTCTGTGTTATAAATGAGCAGAAATGGGTACTCTCACCAAAATGCC